TTTTGAAGTGTAATAGTAGCAAAAGGTTTGATTATATTGTTTTACATATAAAATTCAGTAAAGTTTTACCAAAAATGATAAGAAAACAAGAAGATAAAGGTATATATATGGTAACTGTTAGAACAGCATTCTGAAATTACTTTAGTTATCAAGTCGTTATATTGTTATACTCAAATTTTGTAGTACAAGGTTTATTTCATTATTTAATTTTTCTGCAAGTCTTTTTAATAAAATTTTGGTTATTCTGGAAAAAATGTTGCTGAGGTTGAGAGTATATGCACGATCTCAAAATAGTATACTTTTATTAAGGTTGTCCTTCCAGTGATACTACCAGTTTCTCAAGAATAATTGGGTTTTTGGTTTAAGATGTTTGGTAAACATACTGTGAAAATTCAGGATTTTAACCTTGATTAGGAAAATGTTAACTTTATAGCTGTATAAACATTGTATATAGCTATATATACAAGTCCATGTAGTTTATAGGAATATATGTTTTAGATAGTGCAATTAAAATTCCTTAACACAAAATAATAAAAACAATTATAATGTTCATTTAAGTTTATGAACTAAAAGAAATACCTGTTGTAACAATTAGTAAGTTTTCTGGATGCTTCCAGTCAATGGTTTATAAGATAAAACATCAAATATGTTTAAAAGTTAAGGTGATGCATGTGTTTTTGTGAATTAAGTCAGAGCAACGTTCAGTTTTCTTTTCATCTGTAGCCCAAAGCACTGTTATGTTATCACACAAACACACATATTATCATACATTTTTTACATATATCTATATATATATGAAGTAGCCATGAATTATAAAGATGAATAATTAATAGTTGCTCAATATTTTGCCCCTACAAATTTCATGAGTATGGATTATTTTTATAAACAAAAAGTAACTGTAACATTGTTTAAATAATATTGAAACAAAGTTAATTGGGATGTTTAAATCAAATGATAATTAGTAATAATGATGAAGCTTAAACCAGAATTAGGATGTTTGGTTCATGACTTATTGAGTGATAATATTTTATCGTATATTTTAACACTAACAATATTCAGTGGTAGGTTCAGATACTGTTTCGTAGTTGTGAATATTTTAATCTTATTTCATTTTAACTTCTTAAGGTTTTTATACAGATATCATGTCTTTTTTTATACTAGTTATAATTTATCATATAAAATTTATTGTTGGTGAAATTATTTTAATAGAATTTTATTTGAAGATGTAAGCTAGTGCTTTTAAAATTATGTGCATATATTTTATCTATTTTGCTTTGAATAATATATAGGTATGTTTTTTTACTCCGTAGGATGGCTTTACCCCCCTTGCTGTAGCTCTCCAGCAAGGTCATGACAAAGTTGTAGCAGTTTTACTAGAAAATGATGCCAAAGGAAGAGTTCGTCTCCCTGCCCTCCACATTGCTGCAAAGAAAGATGATTGTAAGGCAGCTGCTCTACTTCTTCAGAATGATCATAACCCAGATGTTACTTCAAAGGTATAGAATTTAAACATATTGTAACAGTTTCATGTATTGAAAATTACCTGATATACAAAATACAGACATATTTAGAAGAAATACAGAATTGTGAGACTGTACTGTAACAAAACTTAAGTACACCTAATTTAAACTTGACCAGTTTGTAATTACTAATGTAAGGTTAAATTTAAAATACAGAAACCTTGAGTAGATTTTATTTTATACTTCTGATTTGTCATATGCACATTGCTATTTTTACTTTATGCTTGAGATTTCACATATAGTGAATCCATGAAGTAGTATTATTTTCAACATACTGCTATTCCAAACGTTTAGAGTGTATAATTATATTCATATTGGCTACTAATTTAGAATATATGTAGGACTATTAGTATTGAGAAAAATACTAGATAAAAACTAAAATGTCATTTTTTTCTTATACTTACTAGAAAGGATGTATGAAGTTTGTTCATGTGTTTTCTGTAATGTAATTGTATATTGTTTGAAATATTTGTTTTGATAATTTAAAAAAAAATAGCTTTTAATATGTGAAAGACTGTTAACGTATAGCTAAAGAGCAAATACACATATTTATAAAATTTTCAGAGTGGTTTTACTCCGCTACACATTGCAGCCCATTATGGCAATGACAATATTGGCCGCCTTCTACTTGAGAAGGGTGCTGAAATAAACTACGCTGCTAAGGTAATTCTATTCTTTAATTTAAGTTAATATTGTCTGTAAATCTTTTAGATTTTGGTTATATGATATGTGATGAGGAAATATGTATTTGAAATTAAATATTTGAAATATAAATATGTTTGTCCCTTATAATTAGATATGAAAATAGGATTTATTAGTTTGAGTTGTAAGAGATATGATAATTGTTGATATTTTGGGACTATGAAAGTTTAAAATAACAAATTTCAGCAATTTAATCCTGCAGTTTGACTTATAATTGTTAGCAGAGAAGTACTCTAATATAAATAATTGTTAAAGTAATTCTTTATGTTTCTGTTTCCTAGCATCAAATAACTCCTCTCCACGTAGCATCAAAATGGGGTAAAGCAAACATGGCAACCTTGCTTTTAGACAAAGGGGCTAAAATTGATGCATTTACTAGGGTAAGTAGGAATCAGTAGTTCATGTCTGCTGCTGTAAGAATAAGTTAATATTTCTTCATTTCTCTGTGAGTTCTTGTGCTAATCATCCACAGTTGTTTTGTTGTTGATGTAAGTGTGAGAAAAAAATAAAGAAAAATATAATTTGAGAGATAAAATCAAGTACAGTTCAGTATCTGGAAAAACACTGAAAATATATAAATGATGTGTGTGTGTGTGTATATATATATATATATCTTGCAATATTATTAACAGGTAAAGTTAGATTGGGTTAGTGTTTTAAATGATGAACAAGCATTGGTGTGACACTGTACTTAATGCTAAATTGTTTTGTAAGTCGAATTTTAAGAAAAACATTGGTTTTAAAACCTTTTCAAAGAAATGAGGACTTTTAAATTATTATCATTTTTTTAGAACAGTTTTGAAATTTTGATAGAAGGAGTATGAAATATAAAAGATTGAGAAAAATGTGGAAGTGTTTAATGTGGTAGGATATTGAAAATGCTCTGAAGTAAAATATTTTTGTTTTGCAGGATGGTCTTACACCTCTACACTGTGCTGCTCGCAGTGGTCATGATCATGTTGTAGATTTGTTGCTTGAAAAAGGTGCCCCTATTACAGCCAAAACGAAGGTGCACAGAAAGTTACTAAATTTCAATATTTTATATTACTTGGTTTTTGTTTTCTGTTTTTTAATTTAAGGTGAAATCTATTAAGTACAAATATTAATACATTAAAAAAAGTCTTATAAATGTTTTTTTAGAATGTCAAAGAGCTGTTATTATATAAGGTTTATGTGCAGTAAAACATAACTCTGATTAGAGTTGGAATAAACATACATTAAAATGGATGGAAGAAAACTAAAAGGAGGAACCATATTACTTATCTATTGCATTTGACTTTCTTTAGATAAAGAGTATTAAGCATAAGAAGAGAGTATTGATAGAAAGTTATGTAGCAAATTGTTTACTATGTTATGTGTACCATAACAATTAACTGTCCTCAACAGGTAAAGAATAGAAACAACTTTATATAACTTTGTAAATGTGAATCTGGTAATATGTAACAAAATACTAATAATTTTGAAAAAGACATTTTCAGTAGGTGTTGGAGTTTGAAGTATATTGTCAACTATAGTCTGTAAGACAGTGACAGAAATTTACACTTTTACCAGCCATAAATTGCTGTTATAACAATGTTAAGGTCCCTCTTTTACGTATCTGTTTCTTTCCCTCTTCACCAGCTTTACAGCTCATGCTGTCATTAATCACTGTTTGAGTGATGTCTTGCTCTTTTATTTTTTATATATATTTTTTTGTATAGTACTTATATTTGAAGTAATATATATTAGTTAACAACTAACTGTTTCTCTGTCTTTATTTTTATTCTATCTTTATTGTAGTAATTATTTTGACAACTATATTGAGTTAGTTTTATTCCTATTTATGATATGATTTGTTGATTTTTTATTCATAATCCAGATTAAGAGTTATATTTTGGTTACACATTCAATGTGATACTGAAAATGGTCTTATATTGTTATAAACAATTTGTAAATTACTAAAATTTCTTCTGTTGGTACACTGGCTAATGCATATTGTTTTTAGTAAACCATGATTTTTAATATATACTGGCTTAAAAGTTTCTAGAGTTTAATGATAACATACGTTATGATTAAAATGTTTAACTAATTAAATGGTTAACTTTAAAAATATGGAATAATGAAAGATTTTTCTTTAGTGAATAATAATGATTCGGCTGCTTTTGGGCTAACACTTTATAGCTTCAAAGATTTGTCATTGATGTTAAAAAATCATTTATCTTTTGTAAAAGTGTGTGATATTCTTTCCTATTTGTACACTAAGTAGGCTTTGTTTTCTTTAAATGGACTTGGATTTGAATATATAAATTAGGATTTTCATTTTTTCAGAATGGTCTTGCTCCTCTTCACATGGCATCTCAAGGTGACCATGTAGATGGAGCTAGGATTTTGTTGTATCATAAAGCTCCTGTAGATGATGTCACAGTTGTAAGTAAAATGCAAAAATAAATCAATTTTTGTCAGTAGATTTTACCCTTGGTAATTGTATTAACATCACATGTCTCAATTTTATAAAAACAAATAAGTACATCTTTTAGGTTATGCCTCATAAATATATATACCATTCTAAGAAAATATAATTATTTTTTCAAGAGATAGCGTGAGTTTATTAAATTATTCTTCAAAGTAGAATAAAAATAAAATCTACAGATACCTGTTCACTTAGTCTGCTATATAAAATTTTAAACATTTTCATGCTTTTCCTGATAGCATTAAAATCAGGTAATTTTTATTTTAAAAAAAAGTATAGTGTATATAGAGTACACTTACAATTTTATACATAAAATACTAGGGAAGACACTAAAAGAAACAACAAATGAAAATCAGAATGACTAAAATGTAAAATAGATAACTTTTGTAAAAAACATAATTATCAAAATATTTTAACTTACTTGATTTTTGCAACATAAAAATAAAATGAATTATTATGTTTTTCTATGTTATTTAATGAAAATTATTATTTTTTCAGGACTATCTTACAGCTTTACATGTAGCTGCTCACTGTGGTCATGTTAGAGTGGCCAAACTTCTTCTTGATCGTAAAGCTGACCCTAATGCAAGAGCTCTGAATGGTTTCACTCCACTTCACATTGCATGTAAAAAAAACAGAATTAAAGTAGTTGAACTGCTCTTGAAACATGGAGCTTCTATTGAAGCTAGAACAGAGGTGTGTTTCAGGGCTTGATAGCTAATTCTGAATTTCCTCAATAATTTGTTTAATAACTTAGGAAGCTAGCATGCCATGAGTTAAAAACATTCAGTCAGCAAAAACTAAAAAAATTAAAGTTTAATCTAGCATTTGAAGATCTAATTCTGATGAATTAAAAACATATTTATATTTTGATTTTGATTTATACTAATAAATCCAAAATTTTATAATGACTAATACAGAGACACTTATGTGGGTAATAAAATGTTGTAAATGTTTTAGAAGTTACAGAAGTAATCAACGAGAAGAACTATATTACATTTTCAGTATATTAAACAAGAAGTTTTGTTTTCCCAAGTTCTATATTTTTTAAAGAATATATATGGATGCATGAACTTTATTTTTTTAGTCTGGTCTTACACCGCTTCATGTGGCTGCTTTTATGGGAAATATGAACATTGTTATCTTCTTGATTCAACATGGAGCCGATCCAGATATTCCAACTGTCCGAGGAGAAACTCCGATCCATCTGGCTGCAAGAGCTAATCAAGCTGATATAATTCGCATCCTTTTAAGAAATGGAGCTCGTGTGGATGCTAAAGCTAGAGCAAGTTCTTTGCCATTTTTTTAAATTAAAAAAAATAAGCTTCTATTTTTTATATGCAATAAAAATTGTGTTTTTTCCAGTATTTGTGCCCATTTTTTAAAAACTAATGTGAATTATATGCTTGTATTTTTGTTGGTGTATTTCTTTGATTTTTTGTGTAATTTTGGAATAAATAAAAAAAAAATATTCACATAAGTAATAAAATGACTGTTTTTCTATAGTTTATTCAGTTGTGCAGTTTTTTGCTGGTCATATGATGTTTTTACACCAGTTTTCCTGAAATTTCTTTTCTTGATGTGAGTGTATTTGTATAATTGTTTTTTTTTTTTTATAGGAACATCAGACTCCCTTGCACATTGCTGCTCGACTTGGTAACGTGGACATTGTGAGTTTGCTGATCCAACATGGGGCAGCAGTGGATGCTACAACCAAAGATATGTACACAGCTCTTCACATTGCAGCTAAAGAAGGACAGGAAGAGGTGGCTTCTGTTTTGTTAGACAATGGAGCTTCACTCACTGCAACTACCAAGGTATGGTTTGTGTTTTTTATTAGAGAACTTTGTTCAAATTTTGTATTTGCTAACCAATGAATCATCAGAGTCTTTTAAGTACATTGACTTCCATCATCTGAGGTTCTCCAAACTACTACAAAATCGGTACTTGTTGGCATGCTAATGAAACGGTGAATTGCTTATATATATGTACATATGTTTCATTGCATTTATATTTAAATACCCTTAATGCCTGCAATCAAACAGTGAACTTTAATATTATGTAGCTTCTTGTATGATGTGAACGAACTTAACAAGGTCCTAAGTGTAGGAGTTAAAGCACTATATGACAGATTTCTTTTGCTTTAAATAGTTTCACATATAAGGGAAATTCAATCAAACATACAAACAGTGTTTCCCCAACAGTCATACTACTTTCATCAATTCCTCAATTTATAGTACCTCTAGTGACAAGATTTTAATATTAAAATTTTTTAATATTATTGGTTAAAACCTGAACCTAATGCTAAGAAACTCAAGCTAGTAACTGTTAACTTCTAAATTTTCAAGAAGGTATTTGGAAATTTGTAAAGTAATGTTTTCTTAATATCTTTGCATCTGTATGCAGTATCTAAATCAAAAGTAAAACTGTACATGCTGGTATTGACATAACTTTTTCCAGAAAGCTAAATTCTGACTTTGATAATTCATTATATTTATTAAATGGAAATATAGAAACTTTGAGAAAAATTATAATAGGCTTTTAAATTTTTGTTTTACAGTGTCAAATTTCCTGTTTCAGTTAATACCTTTTTGAACATCATGACTGAACAGATTAAAAATTAATGTTCTGTTAATGTAAGGTAAATATATGTGCAGTTTCAAAATGATTGAAATGCATTAACTAATACTTCTGTACTTAAATGTAATGTATTTGTTGTTGATCTTCTTTGTATGTTCTTATTTGATAATGTTTTTTTGGGTTTGAGGTTCAGTAATATCTTATTGACATAAATGTCAAGTCATGTTCCTATGTGGTTCAGTAACAACTATAGCTTCTTAAACTTTGATTATGTTTGTCTCTTTTAAACTTGCAGAAAGGCTTTACTCCTCTTCACTTAGCTGCTAAGTATGGAAATATTAAAGTTGCAAGACTTTTACTCCAGAAAGATGCTCCAGTTGATGCACAGGGAAAGGTAAACCCATTTTTTTTTTTTTTACTTTAAAATAAGTATATTTCTGTGCTTATATTTTTTGGAACTTTTAACTCAATATGTAAATTGAAGTCATTTATTCAACACCAATTTTACATCAAGTAACACAGCGGGTTGAATACATTACATTAAAATGATTTTGAATATGCAAATCAGCAAGTCATGTGACAACTACAGCTGATATAAAGACACAGGAGAATGAAATGTATTGGAACTACATTTTTTACATTGTTTGCCATTTAATAGGTAGTTGATGCCACCAGAAATTTTTGCATTGAAAAGGGTTGTTACATATAAGTCATACTCCAGGTGTATCAAGCAAAGTATGGCATCTTGTAACAGCTGAGAATCCATGATTACAAAGCTCAATGGTAAAATTCATTCATCTGTCCCAGGAAATAGTATGTAACATAATCAAGAAGGAAACGCAACACAAATTATTTGTACACAAGCTGCTTCTATGACATATCAGTTCAACTGTCACATACTTCAAGGATCTGGAGAATAAAATGAGTATTCAACTATACATACATTTCCATATGAAGACATAACAGTCAAGTTGTTGGATACAGAGCCTATGGATTTTTATGTGATTGAACTATTGAAATGGATGCTGGAATGTATGGCCCTTGTGCAATAGATGGATTACGAAAAGTCTGTAAGGAGAAGTGATGTGCTTTATACATTGCAGCCTTATGATGGAACCTTTTACAGTAATTATGCTGCAACTACTATCAAGATACATGGCCATCAGACAGAACATGGACTAATGATGTGGCAAGGCTCCAAAATTTATTTACTGTCCTAACAATGTAGACTTAAATCATGCTATAGATCTAAATTACTGAATCCTAAAGTTTGTGATTGTAGAGCTGATTCTCTCTCTCTCTTTTTCTTTAGTTTTTTGGTGTTAGAATGTATTTTTTAGAAATATAAAAAGTAGTTACAGGAACTATAATTTAGAATGGACTTAGGCTGTGTTTAAACTTGCATTTGTAATGTTACAGTACAGCTTAAACTGTTCAAGGAAAGCTGTGTGTTCGATATTACAGTGCATACAAATAAATGAAATAGATATCAACTAAAAATTGGTCCAATGAGGTTATTATTTTTATTTATTTAATCAGTGTAGTTACAGTATTTAAGATTAGTAGCTATAACATCTTGGTTACTGATGGAGTAGACAAAAGGTTAAGAAGTTTATTAGTTAATTAAAGAAGAAATGTATGATCAGTTTTTGATAGAGGACTCCATAAAAAATCAAAAATTGCTGACTTTTATTTGCTATTTAGGGTATATGGCCAAATTCTATATTCAAAAGATTTATAATTAATGTTTTATGTACTCTGTTTTATAGAATCTAAAAAAATAGGAATTAAATTGCTGCTGTTGTAAGAACATAAACTAAACAGATATTATTGTAATTGTTACTAGACAACATGAAGAAAAGAGATTTATGTCAGTGATTTCAATGTTGAAATTTAACCACAAATAATATATATATACATATATGAAAATATTGTAACCCTCCAAAATAGCACCCTACCAATAAAATTGTGTCCAGTATTAAATATTAACCCATTTATAGTGTTAAACTGGTTATTAGGAAACTAACTTTAACTTATATTAGAACTTAAGTTTAAAAAGTAGTGATGTGTTAGTATTTAAATTCTATTGTACAAGCATTTCAACTATTTTTTTCTTTGTTTTGTGATAGAATAGAATGTTTTTGATATTTTTTCATCATATTCTGTGGTCCATGTTTGACTGCATAATTAAAATCGTAAAACATTCCTTTTTTTGTATTTGGAAATAAGTACATATGTTCACTGGAATCATGAAAAACAGAACATCAAAATACTATCTAATTCTTGTACTTCATAATGAAACTGTAAAATTGAATTATAAATGCTAAAAATTAATACATTTACACAAAATGGTTTATAATGTAGCTTAAAAGAGTGGCTTAGGTTTAATTTTAGGGAAGATTTGGAAAATGTTACGTTAGTGATATATAGATTGCTATGTTTTGTGATCTAGAACGGTGTAACACCACTCCATGTTGCAGCACATTATGATCATGTCAATGTAGCACTGCTGTTGCTTGACAAAGGAGCATCCCCTCATGCTACTGCAAAGAATGGTTATACCCCTCTCCATATTGCTGCTAAAAAGAGTCAGATGGATATTGCAACAACTCTTTTGGAATATGGAGCTAAAGCAAATTCTGAATCTAAAGTAAGAAATTTTTCAAAAGTTTAATAATATTGTTTTTACAAGAAAGAGTACTGAAATAGACAATACTGTTTTTTTTTTGTTTTATATATTTTTGGGCTTTCATGGGCAAAATTTTCTTTACATTCTGAATTAATTTTGTTGTTGAAACCTAGTTTTTTATTACTGAAACTGCATAATAGTAATAAATTTGAAAAAAAAGGTACATATAATAATAAAAAACTTATTTCAGCCAGCACTTTGCCATTGCAGCTTTAGTTTTGTACTTGAGATTAAAATTATAGTAATGTGTTTTAACACCCAAAGATATTTTCTTCTTACTTATTTTTGTATATTTTTCAGGCAGGTTTCACTCCTCTTCATTTAGCTGCTCAGGAAGGCCACACAGACATGACAACGCTGTTGATTGAGCACCGAGCTGATGTAAACATGAAAGCTAAAGTAGGAATTTGTTTAATTTTTACTATCTAATCCTCCTAAATGTCTGTACATTAAATAAAAAATATATGTTAATACTGTTTGGTATATTAATACATGCATTCATGACTTAGAGGTCTGATTTGATTATGACATGGTTAGATAGGTGTGTCATGTTGTTCAATATGTGCATTTGTGTCATCAAGACTTAGAGCTTTCTTCAGAAGAGAACCAGTCTGTATACTTATGTTTGAGTGTAGGAAGATATACGATGTTGAATGAATGTTTTACTTTGTAACATAGCTTGTTACCTCAAATGTAAAAGTTCAGTTAATAGAACTGGTGTCATTCTGAGAACATTAGTGTTAGTTCTAAGTAAGTGTTTATTAATCTACAAAGGATATGCTTTATTAAATGTTTATAGAAGAGAAAGATTTGTGACTTATTTTCCAAAGACTGTAAATAGACAATATCATGATTTTAGAATTTTAGTAGAAGTTATATCATTAGTGTTACTGTTTTTTTACCTGATAATAGTTATTAAAAGAAATCAATAACATTAAAAATCTGTTGGAGTCCCAGTGTTAGTTGTTTCTACAAGTTTCAAACATTCTAAAGATTTTCTTGTTTTTAAGCACTAGTACAGATCATTAATGTGTTTGAATTATTGTACATTTAGAATGGTCTTACTCCACTTCATCTTTGTGGCCAAGAGGATCATGTGAACGTAGCAGCAATTTTAGTAAAGAATGATGCTGAGATTGATCCAGAAACTAATGCAGGGTACACTCCATTGCATGTTGCGTGTCACTTTGGTCAAGTCAACATGGTTAGGTTCCTGCTCCAGCATGCATCTAATGTTAACTCTATTACTTCGGTAAGTCTGCAGAGTTGAGGAGAAAAGTTAATAATGCATATTCAGCTTATTTAAGAATTAGAAAAAATTTTAAGAACATTTTCATGATCAAGTAAATTGTTATTATTTTTTGAATGTAGGTAAATAAGAGAGTACATTTTTCACTGTCACTTGTTAGTACATAATTCCAAGATAGGCTAAGGTAGAAATAGCACATTGGATGTGGTGCTGCTGTACAGTATGGTTGTTATTTTGGCTGCTACAGTGTTAGTGAGAAAAGAAAGGAGCAAGTGGACAAGAATAATGGAGGTGGAGAGGTTTAGAAGATGTATTTTATATGAATCAGTTAGTTTAGTGTTTACTTATTTCAGGTTACAATCCAACAAAAATAATCATAAAATAATAATATTTTTAAAACATAGACTTAGTTGATAAATCTTTACAAAAATTATTCAAATTGAAATTACAATATCTATATATATTTATATATATATCTAGAAACTAAATTATTTTTTTTATGCCACTGCCACTAACAGATTACAACAGGGTATGCACAAATTATGAAACTCCCGGAAAGTCTTGAAATTTTTCAGTACTGGGAATCTTGGTAAATCAGTAATTTTTATCAGGAGGTTCTGGGAAAGTCTTTACTCTCAAATCTCCAATTTTTATTAACAACAAGACATACCATTGTTTTTATTTCAATTTCTTGAAACAATCTCTGGAAGTTGTGAAAACACTGACTTGACAACATTGATTAGTTAACAGGCTTTGAATTATGTAACTCCATCTGCAACCAAACAGTTACTTTGTGAGTATTATTGAAATGATGATGTTAGCATAAAGTTAGCTAAAGATGCATTTGATGGGAATCTAAGAACAGGATAAAGAGCATGGATATTTCAGAAGTTTTCTAATTCCATAAACATTTCAATAATAATTAACAATGTTTGTAGTAAAGCCCAAGTTCTTCATCAGTTATGGCTTAAAATGTATTAATAAAAATATAGAGAAATGCAATTTGAAGTTGCAACAATATAGTAGCATGAGTGTCATAAGCTTAACTGCTATGCATGAAATAGTCAAATATTTACATTAAAAAAAGAGACAGTCATATTTTACCTGGTTAAGTCACCCATTCTTCATACAGTGATTGATCTAGGCTGGGAAATTGTGAATGATATTTTGAGACCCATTACTAAATATTTTGGAGACAGTTTTCTATTTTTAAAGAACAATCATAACTTTAAATGCAGGATTGTGGTGTGTATTTTTGTATTATTTTGTCTCATTTTCTTTTTAGTTTTTGTTTCTGATCTAAAAAGAATAAAATTCTTAAAAAAACTGGGTCATGGTTTTACTTGTAATCATAATACCCTTTTATGATTGATACACATGACAGCACCCTTGATAGCAAATACAATTATTCAGAACAATTATTGTTTAAACTTTGTTTTAAAATGTGTGTTATTCTACAAGAAAACTTAAGCTAAACACCACATGGAACACAATGTTTCTAGTTCTTTGGAAAGTTCTTTGTTAAGTGGAAAAGCAGCAGTATATGGAGAAAATATTTAAAAATAATGAAATGTAATTGTGTGGGAAATTCGTGAGTTATACAGCATTGTTAAAGCACACAACAATATGATAATATTCTCAATAACAATATTAGTATGTATATTTGCTTTCTTGGCTTGGTTGACATGGTTATGCACATGATGTCTGTTCAACTAATCAGGGTCAAATTGACTTATTGTCCTATTGTCATTTTGAAATAATGTGTTCAATAAATATTGTTTGGTTTTGGTTACACACTGGATGAGTTTTTAGCTCCATATAAGGCATGGTGTTTGAAAGAAAGACATAAGGCTATATTATTACTGTTATTAAACATTTGAGGACTATAAATGAAGAAAATCTTTTTTGTGTGTTTTTTTCGGTTGTGCTCAGTCATTTAGATTTTCGTTTTACAGCTTGTTTCATAGTCTCTGTTTGCTTAGATAAGTGTTTATCGATAGCTCAGGTGTTAGTCAAAGTATGCTAATTGGCTGCTAGAACACCAACAGAATATTTACCTTACACAGTGCAAAGTACACCTATAAATAAGGTGGAAGTGTTAATATTTTTTAATTTTTACTTGCATTTCACTGTATGAGAAATTTGATATTATTATTAAATTTTACATGGTTTTGTTTAATACTTACTACTAGAATCTTAATATTCTTATAATTGTTATTTGATACATAGTATCAAATAAATGGTGGACAATGTGATGAGTTTTACATTGGAAAACCCCATAGACAAGATCCCATGTTAAAGAATGTAGCAAACCTTCATCCCATGGTTATGAACATGTTTATTTTAACCTGACTATGCTGAAATTATCAATAGAGAAAAAAATATAAACTGCTGCAAAATATAGGAAGTATTATTAATTAAATAGCTTGAACCTAAAATTAATATTAATATTCAGGTATACAGTTGTACCTTTTTTTAACCTCTGTTTTAAACTTGTAAGGTTGAATTGTTGTATATTTATGTTTTATCTTTTTTATTTTTAAAGTGAATTTATAACATTGTATAATCAGACTGAATTAATTAATTGAAAATGCCTGACATATATTAGAATTATGGTTGGAACATGTATGTTACTGTTTAAGGTGTTTGAAGCTTTTTTGTCGTAGAATTTTTCGACAATTATAAGAATATTAATATTCTAATAGTAGGTAATACACAATACTGTGTAAAATCTAAAATAAAATACTTTGAATCACTATTTTGGAACAACATTAATAGATTTGAATACAATTTCCAACACTTTCAAGTGTGCTCTTCAATCCAGCAGTTTTTAAAGAGAAACACACACACTGTTTATTCTGTAACAGAAGTTCCAAGTTCCATAATGGCATGTGATATCAGAAAGTAGTTCAACTTAAATTGACTTTTTTGACAGTTTTTCTTTTAATATAATTTCTAGTTTTGTATGTTAGTTTGGCTGATTTCCAGCTGATTTTTTGATCAAGATTCCTCTTTTGTAGAAAAATAGCATTAATTTGTTTTCCCATTTTCAATATCTTTTTCATGTTCTGCAGGTCTTGTTAAGCTCAACCAATCAAATACCAAAGTATTTAACCACTAGTTTTCATGTTATTTAGATTATGAGTTGAGTCATACCTGATGATGCCAGGTTAACCTGGTGAAATGTTGCAACCATAGATATTATACTCTGTGTATCAAATATTAAATAAGTTTTAAGTAGAATGGACTCTGTTGGTCAAAGATGAAGCTCTCTCATCATATTCCTTTGTGTGAAAACAATAATCAGCTTATATGTCATAACTAATGCAAATTTTGATTTTTGTTTTCAGATTGCTCTAAAAAATATTAATGTTTGTAAATTTCCTGAACTTTGTATGAGCATAATACAGTACTCTATAGTCCTATATGAAAAAAACATATTGGTTTTGAATTAAATAACCCTAATTTGACCATATAAGTTGAATACTTGAATACAAGTGTTGTTTTATTGATTTTATCTAATCACTGTTTTACAGCTTCAGTTGTCATGGTGTGATATAATTGCTTGTATATCAGCTTCAAGATGTAATAGACTAGTGATCTACATACTAAATAAAAGCTGTTTTTCTGTTCTTTTCAATTGTGTAATTAGACCATTATGGTTTCCAGTTCAGAAGTGATTCATGAAGAGTTCTGAATAAAGTGATAAATGCTTAGCTTGGTGATATGTTGCTGGAAGAAATGATGTTTGTGAACAACTTACACAGTTACAGTTCTGATTTATTTTTAAAGCTTGCTTTATTAGTTTTTGTTTCATTTGAATTATGATATTGTAATATGATAGGAAGAGAAATGTTTTTTCTTGGAGCAAGGTAAGGTAGGCTTAGTTAAATCATTTTGTTCTTGACTGTATCAGGTTTTGATTCACTAAAACATAGTGTAATTACATATACTGTTTTTCAAATTAAAACAAAGATAACATTTACAGTTTTATAAAATAAAAACTTCATAGGAAAGTTTTACAACAGTATAGGAAGACATAAAAACTGGTAATTTAAGTCTACAACAAAGATAGGAATTTTTAATTGTTTCTTAAAAAGAACACATTACAATGAAATCTTTTCAAATGTTCAAAGCTGTGAATTCATGAATATATTCATGTAAAAAATATAAGATATTTCCAGAAGGTATATAATTTGTACAATGTAATTCTGAAGTTCCAAACTATTTTATCCATTTATTTTATTTTATAATGCAATAAAACAAATCATACAGTAGTTATGTAAATAATATGATTACTTTTTAAAGTAGAACACAAAGTGAAATTTGAAAATATATGGTTTAAAAGAGTACTTTTTATAGTAACTTATCATGAATATCAGACATATGTCACTATATACCATCAGTTCATTTGCAGGCCTCGAATATTGTTGATGTAGTTGGATTCACCATGTATTATATGATTGAATGTAATTTTTTTGTGAAAGAGAATCTACAATTAATATAATACAAATTACAAGTGAATTATTAAAGTCACTGTGAAAGAAGATAGAATTATGTGATCGGTTATTTTGCCACATAACTCTTATTAGAATCCACTATCTTTATTATGAAGTGCTAGTGAAATTACATGAAAACTAGATTTCCAGTTGCTATGGGTAATTAAGAAACTCAAATGACAAGTTCATGTGGATTATATCTCAAGCATTTTGGTCCTTAAAATATTTAACTTGGAACTATGCATTGCCCTCCTGAGAAGACTTAGTATTCTTTGACTTTCAATTTAGTGCCAACACTCATTACCTGGAAAAATTCATAGTTACAGTTAATGGTAGGAAAATGTATGCTTACTGAGCCATAGGTGAACAACAAAATGTGAAACATAATTCAAAAATATTATATTACAAAGAAGCATTTCTAAGGAAAAGTGTGAAATTTAGAGTTTACAATAAATTTTTACATACTAATATAATGAACAAAATGAAATGGATTCTTAAATAATATTTTATGCAAAAGCTTTCTTTTTTTAATGGGGTATTGCAGGGTTTTTAGCGTAAGTAAATGAGCATCAAAAGGTATATATATATTTAGGCTGGCCAGGAACTTTTTCACTTTAAAGGTTGGATGGTTTAAAGTGGTACTACTGCAGTGAGTTTTAAGATATGTAAATGTTTATAGCTTTATTTTTTTATGTTATTCTCAGCATGGGTACACACCTCTTCATCAAGCAGCCCAGCAGGGACACACTTTAATTATTAGTCTTCTACTTGAAAATAAAGCTTCTCCAAATGCTTTGACTAATGTAAGTATTAATATTAAATTCAGGGTTAAGCAGTTAGACTTTCTTCATGGACACATGGACTTGTGCATAATCTACATATCAACTGGAGTATCAATTTACTGTTAAATATGAAAATTCGTGGCTAAACAGTTAAATCTTGTGAAGAGACAGACCTTTCTAATATCTTTACTAATTGAAGTATTACTATAAAATATTAAAATTCTTGATTATATAGATAAATCTTGTTTAACTTACAGAAACATTTTTCTGATGTCTTTAATAAATGAAGTATTACTATTAAATGTGGAAGCTGTTAGTTAAGTGTTAAATAACTGAACTTAAAAATACACATGAGAAGTTTTTAAGGATGATTTGACTAAAAAAGTAGTATGGCAAGAACATGAGCTTTTGATAATAATGAAAAAAATGAAATGTGTCCAATACAAAAATTCAAAGTATAAACAAAACAATTATGGCTCTATTGAGTGTATGGGTTATATTTTAATGTTTTCAATAATGAACACAGAAAACAAAGTCTTTAGGTGACACGTATAAATTATTTGGCATTTTTGTAATAGAATTAAAAAAATAATTATCAACCTTTTTAATGATATATACAATGGAAATATTTATCCTACACATATGACAGAGTAATCAGTTTTTACTGAAACCTTTTATAACTAAAAATGTACAAAATATATTTAACTTTAATAAACATGATTGTTTATCAAAGAAGTTGTAGACACAATGCATCAGAAAGTTTACACTGATAGTTGTTATTAGTCTAGCTGTCTTAGAAGTTATGATCAACATTTTGTGGTCGATTATATTATACACATCTAAATACATTAGAAATTTGGTGAAATATTGTTCAATCAAAAATATTTTTTTGCATAGTTTTTATATTGTTCAAAGTATTTATTTATGCTTTTCTGATAATGTGGTTGAAATACTATTATTATACACTCTTCTAGTTCTTGAAAATCCATAGGGACAAGATTCAGTGTTAAGCAATATAACAGGCCTAACATATTGTCTTATAATTATTCATATTCATGCTTTGCTAGCTTGTAAGAGGTGTTCACAACATAACAAAAATAATAACATTCTATGGATTTTGTTTAATTCTTAAATTAACAGCAAGGACAAACAGCACTATCCATTGCCAAACGTCTTGGTTACATATCAGTCGTGGAAACTCTGAAGGTTGTAACAGAAACTACTACTATAACTACCACCACTACCATTGTAGAAGAAAAGTACAAAGTTGTAGCACCTGAAACCATGCAGGAAACATTCATGAGTGATTCTGAGGATGAAGGAGGTAAGTTCAAAGTGTACTAGTTGCTTCTTATGAAGCTATATCTGTGTGTGTGTGTGTGTGTGTGTGTGTATATATATGTATATCTGTGTGTGTGTAGGTAAATGGTGTTATTAAATCTTAAATATGAATTGATCAAAATATGAATTCATATTAATTATTAACTTCTGACCAGAGCAAACTATTTATGTAGTACAGAAATCAAAATCCACCCAGTGGTGAGTATAACTAATTAAATACACTGTCTTTACATTCTTACTTTAAATGATAGACTTCATTGTTTTATCAGTTTGGTACCCTCTCTGTTAGAGATATTTTTGGCCATAATTCCAATAACACCTCATGATGTTTGACCAGCTTAGTAGATTTAGGTCAGTCCTAAATCCATATACTACAATAACATTGCAAAATAATATTTCTAATAAGGATATTATAATAAAAAAATAATAATAGATATATTTAAAAAAATAGTTTGTATTGATAAAATCAAATTGTATAGTAAAATTTATGTGCCCAAAAATGAAAGGCTAATTGTGTACTTTGATATTAAATTTGTAAATGTTTAAGTAATTGATACTTTGAAATTGATATTTTTTGTGCTGATTTTTTTCTGTGTTATTAGCACTCTTTGTGTTTATATTCTTTACCAAGGATATATTGGATGGTGAAAATTGAAATATATATTTGAGTTATTTGTGCCACCCAGTGGCTCAGCAGTAAGTCTGAGGACTTATAACACTAAAAATTGGTTATTGATATCTATGTTGGGCTGAGCAACAGATAGCCCTTTTTGTAGTTTGTGCTTACTACAAAGAAACAAAGTTAAATTTGATAAAAATCTCATTATGGCTGTAAATATTAATTTTTGATTAATTTGATGAGTTGTATATTAAAATGCTAGAACAAAGCCAATGTGTTAATTTGAAGGATGTCCAAATTGAAACTTTTGTTATATGAAGTATGTGTAACATTAAAAACTTTGACTAATTTTGTGGATATCATTGTATATTTTCAATCATGATGTAATATTTGTAGCAGGTATTATGTAATTTATGCATAATTATATAAATGAGCAGCTGTATATGTTGATCAGAATTTTGTTTTCCTTTACACACATTTTATTTTTTTCAGCATATCTTATGAATTTTAATTATTTTTATGTATATTTGGGTTCATTTTATATTTCAGTTTTACAGATCTTTCTGTTAAGTTTTCCTAATACCTTGATGATTATTATTGCATGTTTTATGAATTTTCTTTAGTACATATGTTTTACATTGTAAACTTGCAACTTTGAAAGTTTCAAAATGAACTGGTTTGATATATAATTACTCAATAAAGCAGATGCTGTGAAAGGGTCAGAAAGATTTTCAAAATGGAAAGTAGTTGTACTTGGTTAAAGTAGTAAAAGATTTAATAAAAGCATTGGATAATGCTTTAACCCCCATTAGCACACCTTTGAAAAGTTATGTTATTGAACACCTGGGGTCCAACCGGATGCCAGCACAAAAATTACCATTATAGTAAGCTTTGGATTAAAATTCCAAAACCAATTGCATTACAGGTTTTATTAGGGTAAGCATGTAATGTAAACAACATAAAAAATTCATGTATTCTAGAGGAACTATGTTAACAAATAAAGAAATTACAAAATTACATTGTTCCCAGTATACAAATAAGTAATATTTAACCATTCCTTATACAAACAGTGTCTCAGAAAAATGCCAAAGTTTTATTATACTCCTATATTCAAGTCATTATCCACCAATATATGATAAGATTAACACAATGATGTTATAAGCAAACAGATAAGATGATCCTCTACAACAGCCTGTATAATGAAATAAATGTTTAGAAATGTGTTTCGTATTCTATAGAACAAACTGCATGTATAGTGATGGTCAATGATAGTGTGGGGTTTACATGGGCCCCAGATAAACACAAACATACTCCATCTGCCTGTTTCAAAAACAATAGTGTCATATTAATCCAGGGTTTCTACATGACAATTACATGAATGGATATAAAAATATAACCAAGAAAGTCGTTGGGGTCCAACTGGACCCCAGGTGTGCTGATAAAGGTTGTCTTATGTTACTAGAAATCATGACATTTTTATTGTGTGAATTATTTAAGTCACTTGCATGAGCAGAATAATTGATGATGGCTTATGTGAATGTATATATGTACAAGATTTAAAGCCAGCTGAAAATAGTTTTCATTAATGAGATGATCAAATAAACCAGAGCACAAGTTACAGAGTGGGATTAGTAAAATTTGTTGTGGTGTGAGAGATATTTCTGAAAGTAAGACCCACACAGTGATAGAGAACTGTATGCATCTTTATAAATGGAATTTATTTAAGAATTGAAATTGGAAGACAATGTGGGCCCTTCTTCTTATTCATTATTCACTGGGAAAACAATAACTTGTAATGAAACATGAAAATGAAATATGTTTGTGTGATAGTAAGATACAACATATTCCCTGAGTATGACATTTCAAACCCAATTGTGATTAAATGCCTGTTTGAACATTATAATTTGGGTATTATATTACAATATTTAGAATTCGATAGGTTATTTCTAAGTAAAGCCCAGATTTTTAACCCTTTTGCATCAGGTAGGTCAAAGTGTGCATATCATAAGCTTTTACATTCAAAATTTAATTGAACTACTTTATTTTCAATGTATACAAATAAACTTTGCATCAAAACATAAATTAAAGTTTGTTATAAATTTTAAGTTTTTAATTTTATGAGGAAATATTGAAAAAAGTCCTCAATTTTCCTTAGTATGAGACCTGATGTTTGCTGTCTGTGTTTTCCTTCTTCTCTAATTTATTTACCACCCCTCTGAGATATATGGAATTTAACATTTATTACTCATTATGATATAGTTATTAGCCAGGCAAAGCATAAACAATTATAGTTTCATGTTTTGGAGATGTATACACTGAACAGACTTGTGTTTGCCATGTTGTTAATGTATGCTTCTCAACAATAAATTCTCCCCTGCTAAGTCGTGTATTTATTAGTTTAGCATAAAGGGTCCTGGGGATGAGATAAGCCTGGTTGTCAAACCTCAATGCATTGAAATTAATGAATAGGTTGGACAATAGCCAAATTGTTTAAAAATTTTTATTTAAAGAAGGATGATGTTTTGAGCTAGCACTCTTTGTCAGATCATACAACTTGCAACAGCTTCTATAAGTTCTTTATAGCTAAACTTACAAACACACAGTCTAGATCTATTTTACTATCTCTCACTAACTTTGTCTTACTTGAACTACATTTTGGATGCATATTTATAAAGAGCAACTGAGGCCTAGTACTTTTAACACACTATGAGATATTATGATGTATTAATACTTGAGAAAAACTTAGAAGGTTTTAAAACATGATGCAATAATACAACAATTGCCAATTTATGACAGTTGAACTACACAAGGTATGATTTGCACAATTACGTAAACAAACCTGTGATAAACTATTGCTTCTAAAGATAACTAAATTTAACACTCATGCTATACATAAATTAAAACAGTCCTGTATATCTAACAATATTTTAACCATAATACGGGGATAAAAATCTTAAAGTTGGCAAATTTTGTTATATGGGTTGGTATATTGACAGAAATTGGTGAAAATAAAAATTTCCCAGTCATAGTATTAGAAAAATCTCTCAGTCTGCCTCAATTTCAGAAGGTCAGTCGGGTTACAGTAAACAGAAATATTTTTAAGCGTGGCCTTACAATGTGCAGTCAATCCAGAAAGAAAAAAAGGGTAATTTAGAATTATTTTTTAATTTTTATGGTGGTTATGAGGTTGGTCAAATCTACCAACCCTATATAGAGTTATAGTATAGAAAATAGCAGATAAAATATGAAGTTTAAAGAAGGCTTACAGTACTTAAGTAGGATCTAGATATTATATTGTACTACAGAGGATTAATCACATTTTGTAAGTGTTCCAAGTCCTATAATGCCTTTTGAACTATCATTGATAATACTCAGTCCTATAGCCATAATTACACCATTGCTCAAATCTGCAGTTTCCATTGTAACTAGTTTCTTGAAGGACTATACTCATGCAAATCGTTTTTATAAAGTGCAGTTCACCCTTTGTGTACATGCTTAAAAAATATGTTTACCTAGAAAAAAGGCTTCTCAGATGGCGTGATATATCTGTATAATTGTATAAAACAAGAATAATGGCCCTTATAGATTAATTCTGGATGATTTTGTCCTTAAAATGCTGAGTTAATGTAAGAGGTGTGATCATCATCTTGATTTTGCTGTAAATAATATCCAAAAATTTATTTAAGGTCTAATTTTAAATTTGTATTTACAAACTTTTTAATACCTGTAAAGAGAGAATGACACCATTTTTGAAGGAATGATATGTGTGTTTGCTGTGCAAGCTGTGAAAACCATAATATTTACCCTCAGCAGCCATATTAGTAACTTATTTCAGTTTTATTTCACTTACTACAACAGTAAGTTCATTCATTATATAAGTACAAATAATGGCAGATGAGGGCATGTTTATTATACAAGTCAAGAAATGTAGATGATGATGCATATATCAATTAAAAGCTTAATAACTAAATTATCTCTGAAAAGCATAAATATGAAATTATAAAATGCTTGAAAGAATGTAATGCACAATATTCTGTTCAGTTTGCATCAATTGTTCCATTTCAACAAGCTCATAATTAAAAATGATTAATATGTAGGTAAACCTTTTCGTTTTTGCTAATCTCATGACCCTTTTTTTTGCATTTCAAAATGTGGTTTTTACTGTTCATTTGAAAAGAAAGAAAAATGTATCAATAAAATAATTTTTAAGTCCTTTTTTACACCACATATTATTTCATTGTTTTTGTTGTGTTCCAAAATGATAAATATGTTATTTCGTTTTATAATATTGCATGTTGAAGTTTTGAACAAAATTATTGTTATGAGACAAAACAACAGTGATAAATTAATCAACAGGAAATGTTCTTGAAGCTGTTAATCATTTAATAAATTGAAATATATATACACAGTTAGTGCTATAGCTGGGCAGTTAGTGGAATTTGATAACTAACTAATCATTGGACTCATTAATTAAATTAAATTTTAATTAAATGTTATTCTCATATAAGTTTTAAGTATTTGGAAAAATGAAAAATACTAATAATTGGAAACACTAATTTTTGACTTGTAATTTTGAATCATTGATAACTTTTGTGACATTATTCGATTTGATCATAATTCTGATTTGTCGATTATCTTATGTGACACTCGTCAACCTAAATGATGCTCACAGGTAATCAATTATATTGAGTTAATCTCATACCTCCAGCTAGCACACATGATAAAGAAGTTCAATCAATTCCTTTTCAAATTATATTGTTTATGATTAAACAAGAAGTTTTGTATTACTTTTTATTTCAATTATGTAAGGTGTTTCATATAAAAACTTTATTAATAAACATGTGTAATTAAACAGGAACAATAACCAGATACATATAAACAAAAAAATTTGAGAAGCATTTTTGAGATGCAGTTATAAAAGAAAACTTTGATGACATTACAGCTATCATTTTGTTCTGTATTTGTAATGTAGATATTTTATGTTTCTTTTTAAACTGAAAACTGTTGAGAAAAAAATATATTATCAGCAAGTAATTTATTGTTGTTGCAATATATTGTGTTTTTTCAGTAAAAAGCACTTTATGTTTTATGTTTATAAATTAGGAACCTTGCTATTTTTAAACGACATGTTGTTACCCTGACCTAACTCAGAATTTTAAGAATTTGTATCATACTGCTTTTTGAATGTAACAATTATATTATATTTATAAATGCAGAGGTTGAGTACATTATATTAGAACAGTTTTGGAGCCTCACTAGATCTTTATGATTCATGTCATCATATCCAGTCGAGCTCTACATGTAGTTTCCATTGCAAAAGGCTCCATTCTTAGGCTGTCATGTCAAAGCACACCACTCATCTCTGCAAGCTACCCATAATTCATTGAGTGTATGAGAACAATGGTTTCCCAGTAGTCATTTTAGCAGTCCAGTTGCACCAAAATCCATAGGTGATGCTTCTGGCTACTTGAATTTTATATCTTTCTGTGGAGTAGCATGAATACCTATTTTATTTTCCAACTATTTGAGGTATATGCTGCTTAAATGGTATGTCATGGAAGTAGGGGCATATCCACAAGGGTGGCTTGGGGGGGCAGTAGACCCCCCATTGGAGAACCCTGCCCCCTTAGACTCCCATCTGAGATATAAGTTTTTAAAATTGTTAAATTTTCTACATTGTGACTCCCACTGACAAGTATTTATTTGTTTCAGTCACCCTTAGCTAATCCTTTGCCCCACAAATGGAAATCCTAGAAGCATCACTGCAAGAAAGCAACTTGTGTAGTTTTTCAAAAAGTAGAATTATTCTTAATTATGTTGTGTCTTGTTACATGGGACACTTTGACAGCTTTTGCCACTGACCTTTGTGTTCATGGATTCTCAACTGTTACAAAATACAGCACTTTACTTACCATAGCTGAGGTACAGCTTGTTGAAAGCCCATTTCTGGATGATCCTGATATCCCAAGTTGATCCATATTCCCGTGTTTTCCAATTCCATTAAGTATAAGGTACATCCCCATCTTTGAAATTCTGGATACTGATCTGAACACATACTTACAATGTGAATGTATGAATATCTTTCATTAGGAAGAGCTGATACATAAACTTCCAAAATCAATTAATTGTCAGTGGTATCACACTATCTATAAAACTCTAGACAATGTCAGAATTTAGTTCTGATATATAAGATATTCCACCACAATTTTATATGATGTTTTTCACATGAATTGTTGATTTGAATTTTCCAAATCATTTGAATATAATATACTCAACCCTCTGTATATTTACTAAGGAGAGGGACTGTTTAGTGAACAAGTCCTCTTTTTTAGTACTTCCTATACAATTTTTTATATTTTATTATGTTAAACATATAAAAAGATGTTTACACTATACAAGCTTTTTCCCCTTATTAATGAATATACAATAGTACTTAAATGTTTTTTTTTACATTTTATCTGCTGCATTTTTTTGTTTTAAAAAAGAAAACACTTGCAATCTTAATTACTTTATTTGGGCTTGATTTTCACTAATGAACATTAAACTGCTTGTGGGAATCAGGTTGCAATTAAAATATGTATTTTTCAGGCTTTAACAAACTAATCATCCAAACATCTTGTTTAGTTAAGAAAGTAAAATGTCTTTAATATAGAGTGGTTCTTAAAAGAGATTATAATGGTACAGCAGCAGGGTGGGTGTTGCACTGTGGCATGGGTTGATCTTGTCTCCTGTTCATACCTCCTTGGTGCAGGTGATGAAATTGAAGATACTGCCCTGTTCGGAAAACCCACCCACGCTACTCATGTGTATCTACCATATTACGAGGGTCAAAAGTTGCAAACGCGTAAGTTGATCTCCAGTCACCCTCCCCTCCCTTCCTGCCTTCCTGCTGGTGTGTCGGGATGTATATATCATTAAACAACTGGTATTTATGCTTTAGCTTTGGTTCTTTTGGGTGCTTGTGTAGTGCTTGCGGTGATGGATTGCTTTCAGTTTATCTATGTTTTGTATTTGTTTATGACATCCCTTTGTGTTAAGAGTTAGTTGAATATTGACACCTTGAAAAGTTAGTTTAAATTATTAAACATTCATTTGAGAAGGTGTTTGCTTAAAACAGCTGTACTAAATTTAGTTTTTTCCTTTCTGAATAGAGAATAAATTTACATTTTGTGAACATAACTGCTATATATAGTAAAAATATTTCAAAATTCAAATTATCTAATAAGATTGAATATATATAGCAAACATTATCCCCTTTATGTCAGTTAAATATGTTAGTCAAAAAGCAACATTTTAAGTTAAACACATATCCTTTATCATATTATAACTTTTTGTACAATAATTGAAAATTCATGCAAACTGAAATTCTGTCTATATTTTTTAATATGGTTTAATTTTTAAATTGACAATGATGTTGGCTGCTGGGGGTTCATTCAAGATAGAGTTATGCAATCATTCCTGTTTTCTTTTTCTGTTAGTCTGTCTGTCAGTATCTTTTGTTCCTAAATAATTTTGTATGCATGAATAAATATCACACCTTTCACTTGTCTAAGTAAATGATTTAAATTCCTGCTACTTAATAACTGAGTAAAATTTAGTGAGATATGTGTTTTAATGCTTTTAAAAGTAAAAGTAAACAAGTAACTTGATTATGTGCATGTGTGATACAAATATAAATATTTTAACATTTATATATTTAAGATTAATAATGTGTTATTGTTTTGTATTGAATGTAACTTAAAGATGTTTCATTTAATGATATTGATGTATATGCTATAAACCAAACTTGTCAATTTTGTGTCACACCAAAATATGTCTTAAACTTTGAAATATAACATTTAAAGAGTATAAATCAAAATATTTTTATTCACAATGGATAAACTGTTATTTAATATATATTTTTGTTTCACTGATCAAATTTTCTACATTTGAATATATACAGGCTCAATTTGAGCAATATAGTAAATTTAAACATATTTTTCTGAAGGGTATGCACTTGGTCACATTCTGTTGTTAACTTTGTTTTTGTTGTGATCAACCATTAAAATTTACATACCTACTGATATTTTACATTTATATGTAACATATTAGGAGAAGATACAATACTAGGAGATCAGTCCATGCGTTACCTGACAGCAGATGAAATGAAATCACTTGGAGATGACTCTTTGCCTATTGATGTCACCAAAGATGAAAGAACTGCTGAATCTATGTTATTGAGTGCAGATTCTGGAGGTAAATATTGAGTGCATCTTGGTAAAAAAAAAACGTGATTCATTAAACTAGGTTATTTTTATGTAGAACTTCTTTGATAATAAAAGGCCTAATAATGTATCTTATTTCAATAGTACAAAATTAATTTTAAGAACTTATCAGTGAAAGCATGTCTACCATATTGATTGTTGATGAGACCTTTTGCCCAATAGCAGGGCTTATCAGGCCAGCTGGGGTAAGAAAGACAATTTTATATTTATATCATCAGTTGAATGAACAGAAATTGTACTGGTGTGAACTAGATTAGGTAAGTGAAAGTGTAATTATTATCAATTTTATTTAAGTCATCCACAAGTTAGAATCTAAATTCAAAAACATTTATTCACCTCTGCACAACAAAGATTTGTTACCTACACTACTGTCAAGTAGATTTTTGCTCATGCCACAAACCTTGAACAGAACTCCCACACCAGTATGTATTAACTCTTTCAGCACAGGCTTGGATCCTGGGACTGACCTCGTAACCACTTTGTGCTTGTTATAGTTTTAATACTATAATTTCTAAATTAGTAAGCATCAGTTCATGAAATTTGACAGATTATCAGTAAACATTACAATGCTTTCATACACAAAATATTTACAATTTTTTTATTAAGTATTAAAGTTTGTTAAGCAATGTTTTTCTCATGCCTTTTTTTATTTCATGTGTTGCCTATCCAACATGCAAAGTAATTTTCATTTTAAGATTAAAAATACTTTTATGCATCAGAAACTTTTCAAATTTCACATATGAAATCCTTATAATGTCTCATTAGTTATCAATCATTTCTTAAAAAAAACTTTATATTTTATCTGTTATTTTCACTCATGAATCTCTGTACAGGTTCAATTGACTTGACCAATCTCGTAACCACTATAAAAATTAGGAAATAAATATAAATTATGCCTTTTCCATTCTAGTATCACTATAGATTATAACATGAAAACATAAATGTTTAGTCTAAATAGCTTAAAATCTTATACATTTATATATATATTTATTATTCTTACCTTTCAAATGTACCTGGCTAACAATACACAAGTTAAATTGATGTGGCACTCGTGCACTCATGTTACCATATTCATTAACATAAAACTGACCTTTAGTCTTTACAAAGTGACCTGTCTTGGCTATGTTTTAGTGGACTAGTATTTTATAAAATACAGTCACATTTCAATTATTATACATTACATATGTATTAGGTCATCAGGAAATTAATGTTGCATTTTGGAACACTTTCATTAACCCCCTCCCAAAATAAAACGTACATCACGTATAATAGTTAAACGAACTGCCTAAATGCCATGTTAGTGTAGCCTATATAATGCATAAAGTTTAGTATACTCTAATCCCTTATAGTGATGGCACACGACGAGAGACACATTCGGCATCTAATGCTGTTTGAATACAAGAAATGAAACAATGCCTCTGTAGCCACAAAGAATATCAAAAAAGTTTATGAAAATGTTTTGAATGTTTGTAAGTGTCAACGATGGTTCAGGTGACTTTAGCCTTAAAAACTGTGATGGCAGGGACTGATATGTTGGAATTTATATTGATGCTCTGAAGATACTTGTTGAGTCTAACCCAAGGAAACACACTAATGAAATGACCCTGAAATTGCATGTCTCTCATGAAACAGTATGTAAACATTTAAGGAATATGGGAAAACTCCATAAAGAAGATGTTTGGGTGCCTCATGAACTCCCCGATGATCATCGTTTCCAACGTGTAAACTTTGTCTCTTCTAGTGCATAATGCACATGAACCATTTTTGGACAGAATTGTCACTGGTGATGAAACAAGGATTCTCTGTCTGAATATTAAACAACAAAAATAATGGCTCAGTCCTAGAGAAAAACCACTTCCGACCCCAAAATCTGGACTCTATCTGCAGAAAGTAATGCTTTGCATTTGGTTGGACATCAAAGGAGTATTTCATTTCGAACTCCTCAATCCACAGCGAACTGTCAATGCAGAGATCTATGGTCAGCAACTGGAACGTTTAATTCAAGCTCATCATCAGAAATGGCCTTCACTCATCAATCGGAAAGGTGTTCTTCTTCTCCACAACAGTGCACATCCACATGTGTCATGTTTGACACAACACAAGGTTATGGAATTGGGTTGTGAAGTTCTCCCACACCCACTATATTCTCCAGATATGACACTATGAGATTACCATAGTTCGCTACAACACCATTTTAATGGGAAAACATATGCAAATGTGGAAGGTGGTAAAGAGGACATCTGCATGTTTTTGTATCAAAGTCAAGTGATTTCTTTAACCAGGGCATTAACAACCTGATTGTAAGATGGGAAAGCATCATCAATAAGAATAGAGACTATTTCATTTACTAAATGTTTTGTTTTGATATATAAGTTGTTTGGGTTTTTTCATCTAAAAAAAAAGCAACATTAATTTCTTGATGACCTGATATATAGATTATTATTACTTACAAGCAGGTTCTTAAACTTATTTTTCTTAAAACATAGAACAGTAAATGAAGTAAAGCAAACAATTATCTCTTCTTG